TAATACTAAACCAAGACTATTTTTTGTGCAAAATTGGGTATTGCTGTACATTAATGAAACGAGAACTGCAGCGCAGAGCTGAGATGATTCCCATGCTACAGATTCACTTTTCACTATCTTTCCCTAAGACATCTGCTGCAAAATAAACAAATTGTTTAGGTGCTACGAATATCAACTCACCAAATGTTGCTTAGAGGGAAGAATCAAAGGTTCCAAGGTTTCTTCATTGTTTTTTATGACAATGAAGTTCGTCACCAAAAAGCTAAGAAATGTCACAGTCTCCATCGTTGTAGATGGTTGCATGATCATTATTCACGAGGTTGTCACATGCCATTCTACTTTAATGAAACAGTCCATCTCTGACAAATTGATTCTAAAAGTGTTTCAAGTTATTGCTTCTTAAAAGAAAAGAACCTTTACGTAAGGCAGTAGTTACAAAGCTAGAGGTCTTTATACCTTTAAGTTACTATTATTTCTGTGAAAAGCCAGTCTGCATGAGGTATAGTCACACAATTTGTTGGACTTTCTCCCTGTAACAATTCGTATGTAAAAGAACACGCCAATTGTTTACTGGAAAATTTTCTCACAACATCTGCAATTAAATTATGCTTTGTGCAACGTATAGGTTGATAGCCTGACATTTATTTACTTCCAAGAAAATCATAAAACTACCCAAATATAATAATTATTTTGTCAACTAGCTTCTTCCAATTTTATTTCCTGACTGGCTATTGTTTCTACTTAAGTTACACATCTTTACCTAATAAAATATGTTTCAATAACTGTATCATGTATCATGTTGTTCATTTAATCGTGTTTTTTTTTTTTGGCCGGAACGAAAAAGGTCTGTTGAACTTTTGTAAGCAAGTGACTAAAGCTTGTTGAAAGAATTAACTTACTCGGTACAGCTTTCAAAAAAATAAGCTGCCTTTCACAAACTTCTAAAACCATAATTTTTTGGCCGTATACTCCCGAATTAAAGTCCATATCTAAATTTCGAATATTGTCACACTGGAAGAACTTTGAAAAATAAATGATCTTTTATACTCTACCTCGAAGCAGGGGAAACAGAACTCACAAGTTGTGAAATACCTCCCTCGTACTATTTGAGATAGCCAAATTAGGTCAGACATGGCTAGTTGCACCACCCATACTAAAATACGAACCCTTAAACAGCTGCATCACCATACGCATTGTTTGAATCATGAATATATTTCAATGTTACACTTTTAGCGGTAATAAAAGACAAAATTATGGACGATCAAAATGTCTCAAAGTGCCCTTGTTTGACCTTAAGCGTAGCAATGTCATGTTTAGATGCCAAAATCTCATTGGTTCCTGAGCATCAACTCATAGTACCTGCAACCTTATCAGGCGCGGACCCACACTGGTTCCGCTGTTTTATGAAAATCGGTCAGAATTTTCATTATTAATATATTTTAAAAGAAAGAAAATTCCAAGTTGAAGTCTGGGAATTGGATTGGACAAATGTTACTTTTTTCAATACCCGGACATTAGACCCGCAACTGTGGCCAACATCCTGTCTGAATAACTCAGAAAATCCAGGAAAGAGGACTTAAGGGAGTTAAAATCTAAAAACTTTTCAGGGGAAGTATGCCTTGGGCCCCCAGAAGCTTGCACCTTTGGCGTTCATTCACGAAATCGGTCAGTATTTATAATAGATCTGCACCTGCTTATTGGCTCCTGCAACACACATCTGAACACACAAAGCCACAAAGATACATACACTCAAACCACTGACATATGAGCTAAAAAAATAGCTCAAAAATGGGGTAATAAACAAATTCTTTCATAATAATAATTATCTTGAAGCAAATTAATCAAAAATAATTACAAATATTTTTGAAAAGAACAATACCAAAGATTTCATTTCAAAGAGCTAACACAATTTGAAGCAAGAATCACTTTTTAAAACAAGTTACAAAGATAAGATAATAATAACCATCTAAAGCTGGTGTAATATTAATTCATATATACAATGATAACACTTCCTGTAGAACATCGACTCTATCTGGGTGGCACTGCTTTTCAAACTCCTTCAAAATTACCATACAAAAGAAGGCAGTTGAATACTAGCCTGTACCAGGCTCCGAGATAGTCAGGTCTGCTGGGAAATTGGGAAATCACGAACACAAAAATAAAATGGGAGGAGATTGGGGAGAGCAGGGGTGGTGGAGCCTGTAATCACTTCTTTAAATGACCCGTTCTGGTATACCAGAACGGCTCCTGGTATACCCTCTGATTGGTCAGATTTGACAGATTATATCAACACTCTCAAAGCGGGTAATTCATGACAGTCAGAAAGATGGTGTGCGGCGTCCATGCACTTGAAATAGAGGAATCCATGATACCTTCTGTGTTGAACAAATGTTTACAAGATTTCCCGCACATAGGAGAACCGAGAAAGGAGCAGAAGACCTGCCTTGTGAACTTGGAGCGTGGAAAAGATGTTTTTTGTAATGCTGCCGACCTGCTTCGGTCTTGCCTGATAACAAAGAGTCACAAGAAGGAGTTATCTACGCACTCCACTCCAGACTCACATTATCTTCAGCTCTGTTTGGAAGAACAAGCTGGAGAAATCTTGCCTGACTTACAGTGCAGTTCTTCAAATTTAAAGTAGCTTCAGCTTAAGCGGCAATCCATTCTTCAAAATTTGGATCTGTGAATCATTATCCATGAGAACTTAACATCCCGCAAAAACACTAACGAACTAGGTCCAGCATGGCAAAACATAGTCAGAAACCATGACATTCACAGACAAAAGAAAATCGCTTTCAGTTATTCAGATCAAGGAGGGACTTTGGAGAAAATTAAACAACCTAAAAGCCTCATCTAACCGCATTTAAGAACCGACGTTTTAAAGAGGTCAAAGAAAATGCTCTTGCATCAGAGGGCAAATCATCAATCATGCCGACCAGAAACAAAATCAATATGCGTGTCATGACCTCTCACCATGAAACAAGCGGCAAAAATCACAGTTTTCGTGAAATAATCTTGTGAGAAATTTTAGAAAGATTTCAGCTCATTGACATTTCAACAGTTTGACACCCGAAATCTAATTATCTCAAACGTGCCAAAAGTGGGCGAAAGAGGGTAGTAAAAGAAATAACTACAGGCTCTCTTTCCTTCGTTTTCCTTTTTCCCGCCCCGCCAACTTTTCGCATGCTTTTTTCTTTCGCATCTTCCCCACTATCTGAGAGCCTGGAACAAGCTAGCTGAATACAGAATCAAGAGACAGAAGCCAGAGATATCAAGAAGAGAAGCTCACAAGATTAAGAAAAGAATGGGTTCACTTCCATACTGGTATTACTTTATGACCTGTTAATTTCTGAAAAAATATTTCTAAACTGATAATTAAAAGCGTGTGTATGTAAGAACCGACCAGTGATTTCGGATCATATCACAGTTCTGAACTATATTTCATTTAAACGGTAAGAATCTTTTTTCTGGCACGTGTTATCGGCCTTCAATCAAAACACGAAAATAGCAGTTTAAAAAAGTGTGGCACCTGTCTGAACTTTGCTATCTGTATTAATACAAACTAGAAATGATTGTAAAACATAAAAAGAAATAAAATGTTTGTGCTCTTTATGTTTTCGAAATTGACTCCCGTTTGAACTTCCAGACAATTTCGAAGACATGATAATCAATGAACACTTGCCTTGTTATTCTGCTCCTTAAACTTCACTGTTTGTAATGTCCTTCTTGGTTTGTAGAGGATACTATTGAGCCTGAAGGAATCGCTTTTACTATAAAAATATTCGTTGTTTAACGTTTGTCCTCCAACGGCATTTCTTGCCTTCTTTGTGATAAAAGTAATGGCACGGGTTGCTAGTCGTGAGCCTGACACGATAGTTTCTTGACATTCAAATTTTTCCGATCTTTGTGAGACATAATTCCCTTTGAATCAGGTTTTCTGATGTATTGGAAAGGGAAAATGCCTTTCCGTTATTTTTATGAAAACAATAAAGGTGCATGGCGGGCACACATATTAAAGCAAACCAACGCAAGCACCTCGTTTTTTGTCTCGCACTGTCTACCAACGGGACGTTATGGACAAATGGTTTTTAATGAGATGACAGCATATACACTTTAACATGACTCTCTCGCATTTTCTCTTCTTCTCTTTGTTGTTGAAATAAGCGTTCCAGTGACATTAAATTTTTCTAACATGTTTAATTCGCTAGACGTCCAATGATTTTACATTAAATGTACATCTTCACCTAATCTTTTAATAAAGTGCTTTCAAAGGTTTGAAAGAAATCCATGTCACAGCAACATACGGTAAGAAAGGCCTCTGATGTCTAAACATTGATGATATACAATCGTATATTTTTACAAAACCAATAGTATGCCTGATGCCAACTCTAATTGATTGGAGAACTGTGTTAGCTCTACACTGTCGCCTGTTGTATGTGTTTCTCCTTGGTGTAATTAGAGGTAGCCTGGCGAGGTAGCCTCCATCAGCAACTATCCTGGCTCTTCAGGGATGCAAAAATGGTCGCACCCCTGCTTGCAGAATCATCCGGTATGTTTGAGCATCATTCAGGTGTCCAAGAAAGCTAAAGAAACATTAGTTAACAGTAAAACTAATACATAATTTTACAAGGTATATGGTCCTATAAGAAAAACAAATCTTTGCAAAAGGATCACTGTGCTTCGGAACCTACCCTGTAACAAGCATAACTATCATTCCATCCGAATCCACAATCAGTTGTGAGGCCATGAAGTGACATTTTTTGTCTCCCCGTAGAATTCTACTTGTCTCGGCCCTAAACCATGTCTAATGCACCAGTCAATGTAAACCCCGAACCCCCCGGCCGAGACATAGTGGGGCATTTTCCGTTATTTGACGAGCAAAAGGGCCGCAGGTATCGGGGACTTTGACCTCTTTTGCATGTCATCCAAGAACAGCGGGAGAGTGAACCGGGTTATTTTCCACCGAGGTGGACTGGGTCAAGAATCACTAGTCCGGCAAGATGGTGGCTTTTGGAAATGAAAAGAAGGTAAGAGTCGTTTTTATCTTAATCACCTTATATCTTTGGCTGAGTATGCCATCTGTCATTAAGGTCGTTGTATAATGCTAAGAACACAAATATAATTGATTTTTTTGCGAACAAAAAGTCTTTTGTCACAGTTTTTGCTCATAATTTATTCTGAAAATCACTTGACCGATCAAGCATGTCATCAGGTGTTTACATTCTCTCCTTATGCATATTTAAAAAAAATATTTTGTACATGGATAGGTCTGTACACGGATAGGTCTGAATTAAAGTCTTGTATTGTTCGTGATAGTGCTACAAAACCGTTGTTCATTGGTGAAAATTTTGTGTAGGTGCTTGTCGAGTTTGGCGAGAGGAGACACGTGATGTGTATCTCTGACGAGGGAAGTCTAGACGTGCAAATGCTGTTGCAAGAAGTGAAAAACGCGTTTGGCATACGGTCGCAAGGATGTAGTTACTTTATTCAAAAGTTTTATCAAGACTGGAATGAATGGGTGGACGTCACTGATGCTTCCTCTCTTGTCAATAGAGATAAACTGAAATTAATCAAAGCAAACCATGAGGTAATAGAGGTGAGCTTCTGTTTGTCTGAAAATTAATCTGAAAAGTAATTGTTTATAAGCTTTCTTCACCTTTAAATATGTGAATGCATGGGGTACCCAATGTGATGAAATGAATGAAATATAAAATTGGGAACAAACAGACAGGCTTAAAAATTTAATGGTGTTTTGTGTCTTCCCGCCAGAAAAGTTATTTTAAATAATGATAAAAACATTGCATTGATTTTTATGGTATAGAGTGTTTTCACATAACGTCACAATGCCCATGTTGGTGTCCCAAAACAAATAAAAGGCGGCCATGTTGGTGTCCAAACTAAACCTCTGGGAATTGAACTCTATTTTTTATGCAAATACTTTCTTTTGTTTCAGTAAACCAATATGGCCAGTAGTCACGTGCATGAAAACGCTCTACTATAATTTGTTTCTTTACATAGGAAGAGAATTCTACCACTGCCAAAAGAAGTTCTTCAAGTGCATCAAAATCAGGTATTGTAGCATGAACATATTGTCTTGAAATGTTTGTGTATTTTGATGATACGAATGTTTGGAAACTTAATTAGTCTTATTTATTTGAAGGCTGAAATTCATCAATGATATAAATAATAAGCAAAGTTAACTGATTCTGAATTATCATGAATTTCTATGAAACAGAGAGTGAGACCACTACCATTTTTACAAGTGTAACTACAAAGGGGAAAGCTCAAGGAACATTATTATTTGAAGGTGGGATGTTAAATATGTGACACTCCACAATGTCCAGTTCAATGGTTCCATTTTTCTTGCATTGGAATCACAAGAGAGCCTACAGGACACTGGTATTGCGATGAGTGCAAACTGAAGGTTGGCCAGGAGTAGGTCTTCAGTGGAAACAAGAAGATGGAACAGGAAAGTTAAATGTGTTCTTTAAACCCGTTCTATGAAACAGTTTGTTTGTTCAAATTTTGAAATACATTTTTAAACTGCATTTACCAACACTTAACCCTCTTCTACTAGCATGTAGAATTTAATATTTCTCTTAAATGTTAACAATAGACTATGTTACTTGACAAATAAAGTTTAAACCATTTACATTAGCCTGTGTCTTCCACTCAACAAGAGCAGAGGACGTGAGCGGGGTCGTTAGCTTTAATTAGAGAAAAAACCTGACCTTGGGGTTCGGGGTATTTTGCAACTTAGGAAGTGAGCACTTGTCAAATGCCCCGCTATGTTCTGGCCGAGGGGGGGGGGGGGGG